TCCATATATTTTTGTATATGTGAAGAAATTCTCTTGGTGGGGCGGATATGGGTATGGGTATGGGGGGGGAGGCTAAAACCATACCCGCCCCATACCCATCAAACTTTATGCGGGTTTTACCCATACCCGCCCCATACCCGGTCAAAGCGGGGATTACCCGCGTTGACTGGGTCGGGGGCGGTCGGGTACCCACGGCCATGGGTTTGATTGCCATCCCTATTTGTAGCAAATCGATTTCTTCCACAAAAAAAAAAATTGCACACGTTTTTTGTCATTCATTCCATAACTTGTCCGCTATTTCATCATGTCGAATTTTCATTGCCCGAGTCTGAGTTTGAGTTGGTGTTGGACTATATTGTAAACTAGAATTAGTTTAAGGACCATGTTGTAATATTTGTTTATATTTGTGTATTGTTTTGTTATTTTCTTATTTACAGCTGTATATATTGTATTAACAAACAGTGTAAATTTACCTTTTATGAAATAAAACAAGTAGACTCGTTCTCTCTCATCATAGTATCAGAGTCACCCTCAGGCTCTTCCTCCTCCAGTCCCTACTGTGAACTCTGTCACTACTGGAGTTTGTGTTGAGCAGTCTTATCCATCGCACTAGTCGTTCCTGGCTTCTTCTTCAACTGCTTCCTCAAGCCAGGATGGAGGTAAGTTTGTTCTTGCCAATTCTATGGTTGACAATACTTCTAAGTGGATTTTAGACAGTGGTGCTTCTGATCATGTGTGTCTGATATTTCTTGTTTGCTATCATCTGTTGTTGTGTGTGATATGTTTGTGTCCTTACCAAATGGTTCTCGAGTGTCTGTTACACATATAGGATCAGTTAGGTTAAATGAACAGTTAATTCTTAAGAAAGTTCTTTTAATACCTCAATTTGGTTTTAATTTGATTTCAGTTAGCAAATTAAGCAAGGATTCTTCATGTTCCTTGACGTTTTTAATGATTATTGCTTACTACAGGATCTGGCCTCCCGCAAGATGATTGGTATAGCTAGAGTGAGCGGTGGACTTTACTGTTTCTCAGCAAAAGTGCACAACTCAGCTCCTCTGCCTCTACCAATATCTTCAACCTGTCCAGATTCTTCTGTTTTTTCTGTGTTGTTTGATAAGACTGTTCATGATTTTGACCTTTGGCATTTTCGCCTTGGTCATGTATCTTTGTCTCGTTTACAAACTTTAGCATTTAGAATAAGTGGGATTGATTCTAAATGTACAAAACATTGTTCTGTTTGCCCACTGGCCAAACAAAAACGTCTTCCCTTTATGGTAAGTGAATCTCAAGCTGAGCATATGTTTGATCTTGTGCATACAGATATTTGGGGTCCTTATAGTGTTCCTACTATTGATGGTCATCGTTATTTTTTGACTATAGTAGATGACTATTTTCGAAATACATGGGTTTATCTTATGCATAAGAAGTCTGAAGCTAGACCTTTAATTCAAAATTTTGTTGCTCACATTCAAATCAGTATAATGCTCGCATTAAAATACTTAGGTCAGATAATGGTCAAGAGTTTCAGATGCGTGCATTTTTTGATTCCTTAGGCATTGTGCATCAGACTACTTGTGTCGAGTCTTCTCAACAAAATGGTCGGATGGAGCGCAAGCAGCAGCATATCATTGCTGTTGCTCGTGCTCTCTTGTTCCAATCTTCACTTCATTCTAGATTTTGGGGTCATGCTGTCTTACATGCGACTTTTTTGATTAATAGAGTTCCTAGTCCAGTCTTAGGAAATAAATCTCCCTATGAGTTGCTTCATAATTATGTCCCAGATTACAGTGGTTTTCGTGTTTTTGGTTTCTTGGCTTATGCTTCCACTTTGTCTCATAATCGTCCCAAATTTGAGCCTAGAGCAGATCCTTGTGTTTTCCTAGGATTTCCTTTTGCTACTAAAGGTTACAAGCTTTATAACCTAGCTACCAATACTGTGTTAGAATCTCGAGATGTTGTGTTTCATGAGTCTATTTTTCCTTTCTTTTCTAAGAGTTAAAACCTGGATTCGGTTGAGTTTTCCTTTCCTGTCATTCAAGTTCCTCCATCTGCTGTAGTTACATCTAATGATGCCAACACAGTGGATGGTTTAGTCCCATCATTGGCCCCCGACCAACATTTAAGAGTTCAAACTCCTCCTATTTCTGATGAGGAGGTTGGAGTTCCACCTCCTGAGTATCCTCCTGTTTTTTATACTGAACCATCAGGTAGACCTGCTAGGAATAGACAACGACCTGCTCGTTTGCAAGACTATGTCTGCAACTCTGCAGTCAGCTCCTCTATTCCATATCCATTATCTTCTGTTATTTCTGACACTAACCTTGCGAATGGTCATTCTAGTTTTGTTAATGCAATAAGTTCTATTTCAGAACCTACTAGTTATCATGAGGCAGAAAAGGATGAACGCTGGAATGTTGCAGTCAACACAGAACTGGATGTACTCATCAGAACAAATACATGGACCATTGTATTGCGTCCACCAGGTGTCAAACCCATTGGAAACAAATGGGTTTTGAAGGTAAAATTCCACCTTGAAGGAACTGTTGAGCGTTTTAAAGCTCGATTAGTTGCTAAAGGGTATACTCAAACTGAAGGTATAGATTATTTAGATACTTTCTCACCAGTTGCTAAATTAACAACTGTTAGGGCCTTGCTTGCTTTAGCTTCCATAAAAGGATGGCATTTACATCAATTAGATGTAAATAATGTTTTTTTGCATGGTGAATTAGATGAAGATGCGTATATGAAAGTCCCTCTAGGTTTAAACCTTCCTCTTAATTCTGGTGATGTTGTATGCAAATTGAACAAATCCCTTTATTGCCTAAAACCGGCTAGTAGGCAGTGGAATCACAAGTTAACAGAATTCCTTTTGAATGTTGGTTATCAATAGTCAAAAGTTGATTACTCATTGTTTACAAAACAAAAGGATGGACAGTTTCTTGCTTTGCTTGTTTATGTAGACGATATAATTTTGGCTGGTGACTACTTGTCTGAAATTGAAAATCTTAAGAAAGGTTTAGGTGCTGCATTCAAAATCAAAGATCTAGGACATGTTAAATACTTTCTTGGTTTGGAAATTGCGCGTAAGTCCACTGGTATTTCTATTTGCCAAAGAAAGTATGTTTTGGATCTCTTGTCTGATTCTGGACTGTTAGCTGCCAAACCTGTTAGTACACCTTGTAATCCAGGAATAAGGTTGTCTAGCAAAACTGGCGTTTTACTTGATGATGCTTCTGTTTATCGTCGTTTGGTAGGGCGTTTATTGTACTTGTGTAACACACGTCCTGACATAGCATTTGCTGTACATCAGTTAACTCAATTCATGAGTGCACCCACTGATGTACATTTGCAAGTTGCTTATCGCATTCTTCATTATTTGAAAGGTAATCCAGGTCTTGGTTATTTTTCCCTAGTAATTCAGAACTGACTCTCAAAGCTTTTTCAGACAGTGATTGGGCTGGCTGCCCTGATTTCCGCCGCTTCACAACAGGTTTCTGCGTGTTTTTAGGTAAATCGTTAATTGCTTGGCGTTCCAAGAAACAGAAAACCATATCTCGGTCCTCCACTGAGGCTGAGTATAGGGCTATGGCAGACCTAACTTGTGAAGTTCAATGGTTGCACTATGTGTTTGCTGCTTTGGATGTTTCTTTTCCTGCCCCTAGTATTTTATATTCTGATAGTCAATCCGCTATTCGCATAGCTGAAAATCCAGTTGCGCATGAGCGTACCAAGCACATAGAGTTAGATTGTCATCTAACCCGTGATAAGATAGCTTCTGGTATTTTATATTCTGATAGTCAATCCGCTATTCGCATAGCTGAAAATCCAGTTGTGCATGAGCGTACCAACCACATAGAATTAGATTGTTATCTAACCCGTGATAAGATAGCTTCTGGTCTAATAAAAGTGCTGCATATTTCGAATGCTAACCAAGTTGCTGATCTGTTTACAAAGTCTTTGCCTACTGCAGTGTTTTCTGTTTTGCAGTCCAAGCTGGGCACTCTTGATATTCATGCTCCAGCTTGAGGGGGGTGTTGGACTATATTATAAACTAGAATTAGTTTAAGGACCATGTTGTAATATTTGTTTATATTTGTGTATTGTTTTGTTATTTTCTTATTTACAGCTGTATATATTGTATTAACAAACAGTGTAAATTTACCTATTATGAAATAAAACAAGTAGACTCGTTCTCTCTCATCAGTTGGACTGCTTTATATAAGTAATTAAACACCAACACCCCAAAAATGTTTCGCCAGTGAAGATGACTTGCATGAATTAGAGATTCACTTTATATATATATATATATGTGTGTGTGTGTGCGCGCGCGCTCTCTGTTTTTCAAAATAAGAAGGGATCCCATGTGGGTGGGCAAAAGAAAGAAGAAATTAGAAGATTGCTCACCAGATGCAACGACAACGAGAAGAGGGGCAGGGGATAACAACTTGGACGAGGACAAGGCGGCGAGCGGGGGAGGCCGGGTTGACGGCGCGGGGTCTAAAGGTCGGGTTGATGGCAACGGGGCTGAAGCCCGAACCGATGGCGAGCAAGGGAGGCCTCGATGGTAGGAGATGAGACGTGGAGGAGATAAGAGGCAGGGGAGAGTGGAGGAGAAGTGAGGCGGGGGAGCAGATGAGAAGAAGGAGAAAGGGTTTAGGTCTTTGGGATGGTTTTGTCTTCAAATAGCATAGGGGTGACAAAAGGTAAGCCGATAATGGTTTACCGTTTTACGAACCGATATACGGCGGTAAACGGTAAACCGTTTATCGCCGGTATCGACGGCCGAGTGGAATCATCTGAATGTCGGTTTACCGGACCCGGTATCGTTAAATACTGACGGTAAGTCGGTAATACCGATATCGAAAGTCGTTGCGCTGCCACATCCTCCATTCATTCCATCGAAAACCCATTAGAGCAAAGGAAACAAAATCGGAGAAGAAGAAGAAGAAGAAGAAGAATCATGGCATCATCCATCAGCAGCGGCGCTCTGCTAGACCAGAACTCAACTTTCCAATCCACCGCCGTTTTCAACATCCTCGACCCGATCTCCCTCATCCTCTCCCAAAATTCCTCCGATTCCTTCGAGCCCATCCCTCTCAATCTCACCACCGAGGCCTACTTCATGGAGTAGGGGGCCTCGCTACTCTGCCTACGCCCACCTCAGGGAATCCAAGCTCCGTACCAAGACGACCTCCTCCACCACCGTCACCGCCGCTACTGCGACGGTGGCGTTTTCTCAATTTTCGGAGCTGACCACTCCGCCGATGAAACAGGTCAAATTCAAACACCAACCGCACAATCTCCCTGCCCCTGTTTCGAGAAGGGCTTCTGGGTACGGCGCTTGCATGTTGGATCTCCTCTTCCTCTTTTTGTTTTCATTTCGCAGACCGCGCAGCCCCGAGCCACATCTCCTCTTCTCGTCTTCGCCTCTCCTTCGGCTGGCAGCACGACCTGACGACCACGCCGCCTGCAGCACGGCGACGAGCGACGTCGCGCGCTTCTCCTGAGTCCTTAACTATCCCTTCCCTCGCCGACGCGTGACGCCAGCCCTTCCCAGTCCTCCTCCGCCACTTTCCGGCTTCCCCACTGCCGCCAAACCGCCATCTCCTCGCCTTCTCGGCTCCTGCCGTCCTCGCCTCCTAATTGCGGTAAATCGATAAACCGGTTTGTAACTGTTTACCGGTAATTCAGTAACCGGTAAATCGATTACAAACCGATATCGGTATTCGATTGCCTCATACCCACTATCGGCATACCGAAAACCGGTAAATTCGGTAACTGGTAAACCGGTTACCGACCGAGTACCACACCTAAAATAGCATATGGGGGTAATAAAATGATTTTGGGTGAGTCAAGTTAGGGTGAGAATCTTGGTCTGATTGGTGTTCCGTAAGGGAAGCTTTTTTTTTTTTTTTTTTTTTTTGCAAAACATAATATATATTGATCAGGAAAAAGATAATTACATCCTAAAATATAACCAGATCATAAAATAAAAAACACGACACGTAGACGAGTACAATTGAAGGGCCTTCCTAGCCACCAAATGATCTACCCTATTACTACCTCGATCTACAAATCGCACATTGAACCCACTCTAATTTGTGAAGTAGTGCACAACTTCCTCAAGAAGGGCTCCAATCCGGCTATCCCTGGTATCAGACTGATTGATTTTATCAATAACCACTTTGGCGCCACCTTCAAATCGCACATACGTAAACCCAGACGCTAGACACCAAAGAATTGTCTTCCGAAGAGAGAGCACCTCAACAACCAAAGGATCATCAATCCCGACAAATTGAACCCCTTTAGCTGAAGAACCTCCCCCCGCCTGATTCACAATAATCATCCCTCCTGCCGAATGAGACGCAAGTTTGGTTGCCCCATCCCACCTATAGATAATTGGACAAGGGAAGACAGCCCCCAAAGGTTGTTCGGGTGGGCCGCTGAATCCTATCAACAGGCAAACTTACCCATTCCTGGTACTACTGATGGAACTACCGCAATAGATTCATGGTTGTACCATTAGTATAGGTACAATTTTGAGTTGTACCATAGAGGATTCGTTAGAAAGTGTAGGTACAACTTAAAGTTGTACCATGGTCTAGGTACAAGTTTGGGTTGTACCATAGAAGAATTTTGAGAAAGTGTAGGTACAACTTAAGGTCGTGCCATTAGTATCGGTACAATTTTGAGTTGTACCATAGAGGGATTTGTTAGAAAGTGTAGGTACAATTTAAAGTTGTACCATAGTATAGGTACAAGTTTGGGTTGTACCATAGTATAGGTACAAGTTTGGGTTGTACCATAGAAGGATTTTTAGAAAGTGTAGGAACAAAATAAGGTTGTACCACAAGAATTAGGGGTGAACAAAACCACCCGCAAACCGACCCAAACCGTCCAACCCAATCCAACCCACCCGTATTATCGTTAAAATTAATATTTAAGGTTGGGTGAGGGTTTTAATTTGTACAATCCGCCTCTATTGGGTTGGGTGCGGATTTTGGGTTACGCAACCCGTAGAAACCGACCCAACCCATGTTCCAACTATTGTCATAAATGTTCGTATACAAAACATATTTGTGTAGTATATAAGCATATTCATAAAAAAATTAAAATATTTTATCATACTTTTCTCTTGTGATTTCTCTTGTCTAATGCATTATTCTACTTTGAATTTAGACGCATATTTAATATAGGCTACCATTCATATAATTTATTGTGTGTATGATTTTAGAAGAATAATATATATGAATAAGTTCACTTATGTTTAAGCACATGTTTGTGGGGAAAACTAGACTTATGTTTAAGCAATTTGTATTTCATTAAAAAATGCAAACATCATTTATGCATTTTGATACTTTCCGCTTTGATTTATTAGTTTAAGATTTTAATTTATTTGCTTAAGATTTTAATTAGTTATATAATATTTTGTGGTGTAGAATAGTTGTCATTTTATGTTGGGTTGGGTTTTTAATTAAAAGTATCTCCAACCCGACCCAACCCAACTATAAACAAACCGAAGGGTTCTAAATTTTTTGGGTGGGTTTGGATTTGGGTTTTTCAAAACCGTAGTGTATGGGTCGGGTGATTAAAATGACCAAACCCGAACCACCCGACCCATGTACACCCCTAACAAGAATAGGTACAATTTTGAGTTGTACCATAGAGGGATTTGTTAGAAAGTGTAGGTACTACTTAAAGTTGTACCATAGTATAGGTTAAGTTTGGGTTGTACCATAGAAGAATTTTGAGAAAGTGTAGGTACAACTTAAGGTTGTACCATTAGTATAGGAACAATTTTTAGTTGTACCATAGAAGAATTTGTTAGAAAGTGTATGTACAACTTAAAGTTGTACCACGCTATAGGTACAAGTTTGGGTTGTACCATAGAAGGATTTTGAGAAAGTGTAGGTACACGTGAAGGTTGTACCACAATTATAGGTACAATTTTGTGTTGTACCATAGAGAGATTTTTTAGAAAGTGTAGCTACAGCGTAAAGTTGTACCACAAGTATAGGTAGAAGTTTGAGTTGTACCATAGAAGGATTTCGAGAAAGTGTAGGTACAATTTAAGGTTGTACCAAACTATAGGTACAATTTTGAGTTGTACTATAGAGGGATTTGTTAGGAAGTGTAGGTACAACTTAAAGTTGTACCACATGTATAGGTACAAGTTTAGGTTGTACCACAGAAAGATTTTTAGAAAGTGTAGGTATAACATAAGGTTGTACCACAAATATAGGTATAATTTTGAGTTGTACCATAGAGGGATTTGTTAGATAGTGTAGGTACAACATTAAGTTGTACCATAGTGTATAGGTACAATTGTGAATTGTACCATATAAGATTTTTGGGAAAGTGTAGGTACAACTTTAAGTTTAGTGTAAAGGTACAACTCTAGAAAGTGTAGGTACATCTTAATTCCACAGCCGTTATTTTGCCAGAATGAGCTGTGAGAACGTTTGAGTGGCAGCTGTGTGTTTCAATTTCACCTGAGATTTTGACGGGCGTGAGAATGTCAAGTAGTAGCCGTGAAATTTCCTGGGATAGTGATAACTGCTCTTTGCATCTCACGGGACATCTCACGGCCGTGAGATTTGCCTGAGGAATGAAACAATGCTTTTTACATCTCACTTGAGTATTTTACAGTCGTGAGATTACCAGTATGAGGTGTCAGATTTCCAGTAGGAGACTTTCACCTGTTGAACTATCCCCTGTACTTATTATAATGGTGTTTCAAACATAATGGACTTTTTTCCAGAACTTCAAACTTATGAAAAAGATGATTCATAAGGTTCTCTAAAGCTTGACAATAGTATTACTTAGATCCATTCACATTGTTCTCTAGTAACAATACATCATATCAGATGAAATACCATGTTAACAAAAAGTAAAAAGCCGTCAAAGCATTACATTTGTCTAATAAAACAAGCATCCATAACACGATTAAACCTGTCTAATTAAAGCTTAAGTTTAGCTGCATGTAGCCCACACCGGTGCATCATCATATTCTAATTGGAAAAATACAAGCACAAACACAAACACACATAGCTAAGTACTAAGGACTTTGGTTGGCTCATCTTCATTGCCCATCTTCCTCGTCAGTATTCTCGTCCTCGTCAATGTTTTCCTGGATTTTCTCATCTTCATTGAACTCCCTAGACTCATTGCCCTCTTCCTCATTGGTCCATTTGTCCTCTTGATTTCTTTCCTTGTTTTGGTCATCGCCATTGCTCTCGTCGTCCTCTTCACTGCCCTCTTCCTCATTGGTCCCTTTGTCCTCTTGATTTCTTTCCTTGTTTTGGTCATCGTCATTTACCTGTCATCCTCTTCACTACCCTCTTCCTCATTGGTGACACTGTCTTCTTCACTGCTTTCCTTGTTTTGCTCATTGTCATTACCCTTATCATCATCTTCACTCCCCTCTTCATTGCTTTCCTCGGTAGGCGTAGGAGATAGTTCCCAAGGTCTTGGGAATTTTTTGCAATCAATCCTCAAGGACCTCATGATGTGATGGTTGCATTTGATGATGTAGCATCGAGCTTCCTTCTCTCAATCGAGGCGGGAGAGAATAAGTGCATTTTGCTCCAGAATTTGGGCATTCTGCCGACCCAATGCCTCTAAATGGGATATGTATGTGTCGGTGGATGGTCCGGCTTGAGTCGTAGTTTGGTGATGTTATGCAGGTTGTTCCCCTAGTCTCCTCGACCATTTGCTGAACAACATGCTCTGATGCGTTTGCCTCATCTGTTGCAAGAGGAGGAGCATGATGAGGGAGGCCAACAATGCCTAGCACACCATTCTCCTTAACCACCAAGCACAGACATGATCAATATCAGAAGCATTAGTTACATTTGCTCAATGCTCAAAAGGAACTAGATTAGTAGGCAATCCAAAACTTGCACAAAATCAATCCTAGATTGTTAGAATCTAAACTAGTTCTGTTTTAGGATTCACTGTGATAAAGAAAGTGTTGGTTGGAACATTTACCTTCGACAACAAATATAGACCTGCAAGGTTTTTTGGGGAGATTGGTTGAGTGGACTGGGAAATGGTGCAATGAGAACCCACCGGATCAATGCAAAAATTGCGAGCTAGCCTTGTGATGTAGGCACCTCCATGGATGGTCTTGATTTGTTGGAGGTCATCTTCTGTAGGGTTTTCAGTATGACTAAACCAAGATGAATTGGGGGATCTTGAACCATAGAGAGGAAAAATTCAAATCCCGCTTGGCACACTCCCCGGGCTCCCCTCCCTAGCTGCCACAGAGTGAGCGATAATGTTGTGGATGATACGCCATGGGGGAAGAAGATCATTCCCTTTATAGTGGGCAATGTCAGACTTTGCCACATGGCTTCGTTTCACCGTACTCCACATATCATCGACCAATGGTGCTCTTGGTGGATATATTTTCTCTGAAATCAAACCATGTCCATCTATGGTGAGAAATCCTGGTGGGTATATCTGGAGTGCCTCTGTGAACTCAGTGGTGCTCATCTGTCTCGCC